TGAGATGGGGAGTCTATTTCTCTGAGTACTCAGAGGCGTGCAAACAACTTTAAAGGCCATTTCTTATTCACAGCATGAGAAATGGGCAAGCATTCCTGCATGTCAGAGGGAAAGACTGGGGATAGCTGAGCACTGGATTGTGGGGGGATGTTCCTGCTAGGAGAACAATGAAAATTTCTTTGGTGCTTCGGGAAAGTTGATGCAGTTGTGGAGGACAACAACCAAATCAACATTTCTTTTGGTTTCTTCAGTGAAGTGTTCACTTCCAACATATTGCTTTTTGTACTGTGCTGGCTGCTTTAGAAGACAGATTTTGCTTGTTTTCTGCAAATAAATCTCTGACCCAGGCAGCCTGCAGGTGGATGGCTACAGGCCAGTAAATTATACATACAGAGAACATATCTGTTGGATATGTGCCTCCTGTGTGTAAATGTACAAAACACTATGTAACTTCCAGTGCAAAGAACTGAAGATTTTGGCATATCTACTTCTGTGTCCAGTCCCCCATCAGAAAGGCTTATCAGTCTGATTAGATAATAATAGTGTTAACATATATGAAGCCTTTTGGGAAACAGAGTAAATTTCCCTGGGGAAAAAAAAAGTCACATAGGAAATTGATGGGTTGATAGGAAAGGAAAACTGGCAACTGCACCAGGAAAGAAACATAGAATGTGTCAAACCAGGGAACAAGGCTTAAGCCCTATAGACCATTTCATGAGGCTGCATTCTGGGCTCCAGGCTAATTGGTGAGTGTTTGGGTCTCACTGTTTTCAGCAGTCCAAGGAGCACCTTGGGCTATGATGCCAGTCAGCTGCCTGGCCACCAGCATCCAGCCTGCCTGGTGCCAGAGCTCCACTAATGGACATCCTTAACAGAAATGAGGTAAATGATATGAGGAGCCAGCAACAGCTGTCAGGAAAGCATAATCATCATCCTCAAGGCTTTGAAGTCTCAGTACAATCAGATTGTAAGGGTGCTCCTCATTTCACTGAAAAGAGAATAATGCTTTCTTTCTTCACAGGGCTTCCTAGTCATTCCTTGTCAGAAAAGACGTTTTCCTTACAAATCTTACATTCTCTGAGAGCAGCTGAGTGACCAAAAAACCACCACAGAGCTGCTCTCAGAAGTACAGACTCAGGACCTTGGCTTGAGTTTTGAGGAACTTGAATATTTGAGCCTTGGATCCCCCTGGAGCAGGCCAGAAAACAGTCTTGTACTCATAACAGAGAAAAGCATCACGTTTCAGCCAAAAGAAGTTTTTTGGCCACATACTGGGACAAGCAACATTTTCATAGTGATAAAAGAGGATCTCCTCTTGACTGTTAAGTAAAAGCTTCTTCGGGGCAGATGAACAGTTTTTTTTTCCTCCTGTATCATTTAGATTAAGCCTTCTGGGAGATCTAGAGATCTAAGGGTATCTAGGCTTGTCTGCAATAAGATGAAGAGGAGGCAATTTCCATCCCTGAACTTGCAATGGTTTCTTTTGCATTACATAAAATACAAGGGGGTTTTGGATCCACAGCTTTCATTGCTGTCACTTAGAATAAGTCCTTATGTGTACATACGTGTCTACAGGTGGTGTCTGTAAGCTACCTCAGTCAGAACAGGTCCAGTGACAGCTCCTGTGTTTTAAATCAAGTTTTTCTACAAAATTCCAAATGAAATCACTTTTGGAAGGGGGGCACAAAGTGTTAGCCAGCCTGCTACAGTGAGTGTTTCAAGCCAACCTGGAAAATCCTGAAGGGAGCAGAGTTAGGGAATCACCTTCACACTCTCTTTTTTAAAAGAGATGCAAGTGTTCAGATGCAGATCCTATGTGCATGAGATTCAGGTCCGCCAATCAGAATTAAGTGGCAATAAGAACTTGCCAAATGGTTCTCACATAATATTTAGCCTCAGAGGACATGATTTTCAGCCTCTGAGTACACGACAAACAAAGGCTTCAAAAGGACTCTACTATGTGAAGTACTGCCTCTGATTGAGGACCAAGACCAAAGTAATATCTCTAGATATTGAGATTTGATTCTGACCCATATGAAATCTTAAAACTTCTGATTTGCAGGGAAATATTCTCTGCTGCCCTTGTCTTGGCTGTTGCACAGCAGGTTCATAGTGATGTGTATCGTATCTCACAGCTGCAGCAGTGAGTTCAGTAACCTTTACATTACTAGACCATGGCACTGAGGGTGATGGAAGGCCAAATTTGGCAGACACTCAAGAGCTTTAAAAGCTACACATTATCAGAGCAACGAAAAGAAGACTGTGCTCGGTTAGGTCATTTAATTTTCAGTCTGCTGTAAAAGGGATCAAGCAAGGCAGAAGGCAGTGACCTGTCAGCAGAACAAGATGAAACAATTTCAGATGAGCCCAATTAAAAAAAACCCCAACAGTAAGTTTTAAAAAAATCTGAAGCCACATGCTAGAAAACACAAGCAAGATAATCTGGATCTTTTCTCTCCACAATGTACATATTAAAATACCATATCTTGGCATGTGGCCAGAATTCTGACGTGGCTGGTGAAGCATAAAGGCAAACATATCTGCTCAGCCAAGCCAGCACTACTGGATTTTGATAAGCCAGCTCAGATTGCTTTAGTGCTCCAGAGCAGAATGGGTTGAGTGAGTGCTTTGGCTGTATTGCAGACACTGAGAATGCAGACAATAAGATAGACAAAGAAAACGAGAAGCCCCATAAACCGGCTACTTTTCCTTCTTATTATAATGGAATGAGTTACGTTTATGCAAAAAGAACCTGCATATTCTTCCTCCTTCTGGCAATTCTGTACACCAGCACCTCTGAGCAGGAAAACTCAAAATCTGGAAGTGCAGACTTCATCAGCAAGGGCCATCTGGGAGACTTATTTTTACATATCATCAAGTTAACTTTTATTCTCAATGTCACAGTAATTCCCTAGAAAATAATCAGATTTTAGTGGCTTCCTATGCAAGAGGAGTAGGGTGGAATGAAAGATACTGGGTGAAATTTGCAAGAATGTCTAGTAGTTTAGGAGAGAACCTTCAGCACATTTTCAGTGAATCATATTATTTTACACAGCAGATATTCAAACGTCTGTAGGCACTTATATCTGCCAACTGTAATGCTTAGCAGGATTTTCAAAAGCAAGTCATTTTTACAAATCCAGTCTGTACCTGTTTGTAGCATTAGTTTTCTAACTATGTCAGGAAGGAAGTATTTTTAGTCTGGAAATGTTGCTGTATAGCACTATGAAATTTAATGCTAAACATGCTGGTTTACCAAATTTCTACTCAAACTTTGATTTTTCCACTGGCAGCACAAGCTGAAAATATTGCTGTTACAATTTCTAGCTGCTGAAATTTCTATGATTTTTGAAACAAAAATTTACAAGAGGAGGAGCCTGGTAAAGACATCATTTTGTCCTTTAATTGAAATACATGGCAATCAGAATATAAATTCAAAAAATAAGTCCTCACACATTAGTGAAGCTTTAATGAAGTGACTTCATATGTTTGTATATCAGTTGCAGTACCTTTGTCTTTGTAACATGGTCCTATTAATCTCATGCCTCACTTTCATTGCAATCACTGTGCTGGCATTTTATTACTACCTTTACTTAAACTCTCAGTACCCCCATTGTTTATACAATCTAGCAATATTTGGATGCTTTTCTTCCAGATGGGGAATAGAAAAACTCATAGAAATTGGTGAAAAAAGAGATGGGAAGTAGGCTGAGCTACCTATTATTAACAGTCTGTGCCACTGCCTTCACATGGAAGTCAAGAGTATGGGAGGAAGTTCCCAGCTACAATGCAATGCCAATATCAGGTTACAGCAGGACCAAGTTCTACTGAAAATGCAGGTACACCATGACAAATTGTAAAGAAATCTGAAAGCACTAGCCTTGGGTGAATTTTTATATTGTTATTGTATTACTCAAATGGCTTCAGGAAATTAGAAACAGAACATTTATAATACTTTCTTGGTAATTTTTGTAAGAAAAAAATCAACATCCCAAATAAAACAAAGCAAAAACAAACAAAACAAAGCCAAACAAAAGAACTCCCTCAAACTATTTATATGTTTCACTTTTAAAGACAAAAATTCTAACCAAACTTCCTCTTTTTCTTTGAAATGTACACAGAAATTCGATGATGTCTGTTCTCTATTATAGAAATGCTTAACTCATGGCAAGCCTCAAAAAAGAAGACTTGAAAAAGCCTGTAAGAAATAAAGTAGACTGCAGTTGCCTGCTGGATACCACATAATATATCTCACCAGAAAGAAAAGCCATCAATTTATCAAAATGTATCTGAAAGGGAGAAGTTGAGTCAGTTCCACATGGCCAGTTCTTCTGACTCTTTAACGGATACATTTTGAAGCATCACTGCAGATAACAAGGCAAGAATTACTACTAATTTTGTTGTATTAGAACTAGGTTTTGGTGCTCCCCAATTTCTTTGGGGTCACAGGAAACAAAATTAGTATAAACACATTACCATGTTAACTGTACTCAAAATCCCATGGACAAATGTATCCCTTAACATCCATCTTCAGAGTAATTAAGAAAGATTAAACATTGCTAATAACTGATTTTTATTTCACTTTTGTTTCTCTTCTGTTTTCAAAGGTTCACTCTCTCCACTTCATAAATCTTCATTTTTTGTCACAATCCATATTGATTTTTTTCCTACTGTGTTAGTAAAGTAACATCTAGAAATATGTGAACTATTAAGCAGCTGGAATCACTTTCTGGAAGTTTGCCTTTCCATGCGAACAACTTTATATAAACCCAATATATATAGCAGTGTTTTGCTGTTGCCAAGTCCATGGGATCTGATGCTTGGCTGTATAGTTTCTTATTTTATATACAGTGTATATATACATGAGTGTATATATATACACATATACACACACATATATACATATATAATTATATATGTATACATTCACACACATATAAAATATATGTATGCATTGTTTTTTGCAAATGAAATCAGAAAGCAAGCAAAACACGACTGACCTGACTTACCTGTACTGGGCTCACAGTCAATGAAATCTTCATCATCACTGGAACATTCAGCTGATGAAACGATGTCATCTGTTGTCTGGCACGTGAAGCAAAGGAACAAAAGAAAACAAAAGTAAGATATCTGCAAGTCAAGAAGCTATTACACAGGTAGCTACATATCCAAGGAAAAAAACAGTTTTCACAATTGAATCTTTTAAAAAATTTAGTGGTACCAAGTACTCCATATATGACTGTGTAAATGTGTCCTCCACTGAGTTGGAGTCTCCTGTCGGAGGAACAGTGTTTATCCCGTGCTGTTGAATATTTCAGGTGTGCACAGGTGCTGTGCACCTGCTGGGCTGTTTAGGGCAGCAAGTGGATCACACTGATGTTGTTGAATGAAGTACAGTGGGCTACAAAGCTGCTTGGCTGGCAAACTGCCCTCCAACAGCCAGTGCAGATGTGCCTGCTGGGAGGAGGCTGGGCTCCACCGTAGGACCGGTATCATGTAGGGCCAGCCAGAAGGCACTTCCTGAGAGACTTACCATGTGAGGCATGTTTAGACTGAACATGCTCTCTGCAAAGAAAAATATACAAGATAGACCCAGATAATGCACACCATTCAGACAGCTAGCAGTACTCTTTGCTGTGCCTGATGCACCACTCTGAGGCAGACACAATTCCTGCTCTGTTAACACACCTCCTGGGCTGGGAATCTGGTGTTTACCCAGATAGTAAATATCTGTGCAATTCACTTGCTGCTTGATGAAGAACTGCTGTATGTATCAGGTATGCTCAACATGCAACCACACCTGCTTGCTTAGCAAGTGAACAGGGGTGTGGATGCAACTAGATTGAGCAGCTGTAAAGACTGATTCTGAAGGAGTTAAACTAAACTGTGACCGTTCACAATTGTTACAGGTTTCACCACATTCCTTTGCATTTCCAGCTGGTGATATTTTCTTATTTTTTTAATTTTTTCTTTCTGTGTGTGTACTGCTCTAATTAGTGAGCAGCATGTACTGCAGCATGTTAGAGAGACGTGTACTGGTGTCTCTTCCCAGCAGCATCTCCTGCCTGTAATTGCTGCAATTAGTTGAATTAGTAATGCAGACCATTAGGGAGAGCCTGTGGCAGCCTCTGGACACAGGTTGTAATGTTCCTGTGCACAATACAAAATTACCCCAGCTCAGCAGCATTGGCTCAACCACAGCTTCTGATGAAGCAGCCTCCCTTAACAGCTCTCCCTTGCAGAGAGCTGCTTATTCTGCTGAGCAGTAGGATCAGTGGCATGACTCCTGAAACAAAACAGCTGAAATGCTCCTCAGGCAGGAAGCACTGTAGAACTCAGGAGCAGGACAGCTGCACTTCATTACTCTAGGTGAATGTTTCTGGGAATCTCACATCTCAACAAGACTCTCAAATCCTTATTCCTGAAAAAGACTGTCCAGCTTTAAATAAGGTCTCTTTCATATTCTTATATTTGCTATGGCTGTCTCCAATATGTTCCCTCTTCCCTTTACAAAAGAGTTCTGAGGACTCTGCCTTTTCTTTAGCCTTCTGTGCTCCTAGCACTCTGAAATACCTCTGACCCCTGCCAAAAGTTCCTTGCTCTTCCCCTCTCTGTTTGTATTTGAGCTAAGGGACGAAAAAGAGAACCAAGAAGTCAGTCAGAAAGATTAGATTGAACCTAATGTTCCTTCAGTCTTGATTTCAGTGGCTTAGAATGAGCCAAGAAAAAAAAACCAGGATCGGTCAGTTGCAAGTCTTGATTTCAGTCTTGATTCAGTGGCTTAGAATGAGCCAAGAAAAAAAAACCAGGATCGGTCAGTTGCAAGTAAAAATTATAAAAACAGAGTATCTGTAAAAAAACCCAGTCATGAAGTATTTTATATGTAACTCATTCATACACAGCAGGGTGTGTATGAAAAACATTTGGCAATGTTTTGTGGAATGCTATCTTGCAGCAGTTTCACGCTTACTTTCATTAAATACTTTTACAATTTTGCTTCCATGGGGAGTCAAGATTAAAAGGAACTGAAGGTAATATGTTTCTGCCTTACATGTCAAGGTAATTTAAAAAAAAAATTCAGCCACAGAAAGTGGAAGAATTCTGTTGAAACCCTGGTGACTTCTCTTATGACAAGCTGGCTTTAAAATTTTGTCTGCTCAGTGAGGGGACAATAAAGGAGGAATGCACAAAATAGAAATTTATTTTTTTCAATTCTTCTGGTTCTGTCACATATACTTTAGAAAGTATTATTTATCCCCAGAAACTTTATAACCTATACAGTGATCACATCCTCCAACAGTGAAATGCAGCTGTCGTTGGGTAAAAAGATATTAGTTTTTAATTGCACCAATGTAAAGTAATTTAGTACAAGTTAGTAAACAAGGCTATATTGCTAGAAAATTTTAAGCAGGGGAAATGTAATTAGTGAAACTGGAGATATATACTGTAGTTGTCTAAGGGTAAGAATGGCACTGTGAATAAAGAATAAACTATCCATCACTACTAGAAGACCTTGCTCAGACAGTGCTAAAATCCTGGCAATTGGTTTTGATTTCCAGGTTAAATTTAAATCAGGTGGATTTTGCTCTAGGTTGAAGATCTGACAATTCACACTTCTCATACAAAAACAGTAATGATTTGCTCCAGTAAGAAATAAACATAAAAATTATAACATTGTGTTGTTGTCACTTATCAGCTGCTATACCTATTTGATTACCCATTTACTTGCTCAGATCTAAAGGCTTCATGCAACATTAACGTGGAATCAAATCCAATTGAATTGACAATGTGATTTAGCATTTGTGAAGAATAAGGAGTTCTTTTATAACTATTTTTTCCTCTTGCATATTAGAGGGGCATGATATGAAACCAGGAAGGTAACAAGGCCTTTTTTTTTTTTTAACTGGACACCTCCTTGCAACAGGATACTGGTAGATAATAAAAGTTTAGAGCATTTAGGAAGTGATCAGCCAAACTGAAGGTCAAAACATCCTCCCAGAGCTATTAATTACCCTAAATCTAGTTAGGGAAGTCCCTGTACCACAACCTGAAAAGTCATGAAGCCTGGCCCTTGTTCTTCTTGTTCAATTTCCCAACTCATAAGCAGCTTAAGACAGTACATACAATGTATTTATGCTGCACTCTGGTATGTGTACTAGATTTCCTGCTATAAAATCCCGTTGCAGCTTGTGTTGTTCTGAGCAGAGAAGGGCACAGTAAGCCAGACTCAGACAAAATGCAAGTGTGTGATGTGCAATAGTCACCAACCTTGTCAATTCCAACCTCTATTTGCACTTTTTCATGACTGGTTCCACACATGATTTTATCAATTAATCTTCATATTTTCTCCCCATATCTACTACATGCTGTTTCACCTCCTATTCAATTTTTTTTCTTTGTGATTGCTCTTTATCCCATCCTGCTGATTTTATATGTATAAAAAAGAGGGTTAGGAAAAAAAAAAACCTCCAGAAATGGTGTTAGATTTAAGTCAAGGTCATTAACGAGATCTCTAGAAACCACAGAAAAGATAAGTACACTAATCTGTCTTGCCATTTCCTATCTTGTATTTTTAATCTCAGTACTTTCCATCACAATTCATCACTAACCGATTTTCTAGTCGCACCACATATTGGTTTTCCATACACTTTCCGCTAAGATACCAACATCTGAATCATCCCAAAGGAATAAAGCTATTTCAATGAGAAAGAACAGCAAATTCCTGACCACAGGAACAGGGTCAAGGAAACATCCAGAAGACCATTACTTCTTGTAACAGGAATCAGTACCTTTCAAGACCTTCCTGGAGCTGAGAATTTCCACTGGACATTTACTAAACCTGCTGCTTTCACAAGACAGGAGAGGCTAGTGAGCAGATATCCTGGAAGTCTCTCCACTAACATAATTTCTTCACATCAGAAACAGCTCACTGTGAGGCAGTAAGGAAAAACACTACCCAATTTCTAGTTCCTTTTCCCCATTTTTGAAATGTTCTTATTTTACTCACCCACTGGCCCCGGGGGATATAAGTGGATTGATGCTTTAGTGTCTGCCCAGTGATCTAGGGATAGCAAATGCTAAACATTCTTATGTACAGGCAAAAAGATAGTAATGAAACTTCTCCATATGCTGTGATGGAAATGATGTTTGTGTTTTCATTGGAAAGAACATGAGAGAGAAAATATTTTTCCTTTCCCTATATTAGCTAAATTCTATATTAAAAATAATAAGTCACACTATACTATTTTAAAATATGTATTTCATTTTTAAAGAATCCCAGCTTTGAAATTACTTGGCCTGTATTAAAGGCCATAAAACTAAAGATAGGTATTATAATAACTTTCAATAAAATTTCTCTCTGGCAGGAACCCTTTTTATTCCTTCCCCTGAAAGATTTTTTATGGCATTTATATTATTATTTTTTCTCTCCCTCTCTCTGGTGTTTAATGAAATTGCTTTGGAATAAAACCAGGGTAGGAGAAAGTGCTAAACTCTGAGTCCACCCCAGAGGATTTATGGGCATATTTACCTTCAAATTCTTTCAATTTCACTGAATTGGCTCCCCATTCCTTTCCATGAATTATTAGTTCTGTAATCACCTCCTCCTAATTACTCACTCTAAGGGCCTCTTCAATCTTGACACAGTGATGGTTCTACAATCTTTGTTCATTACACTGTATGTACTAGTGTGGGATATATAGTGCAAGGAAATCTGGCATGATGGGGCAAGACCTGCTCAAGATGACTCCATTCCTGTCCAATCTTTAAATTGCCCAAAGCCCTAATTTATGTATCAGATCCATAACCCTTGCTCCTTTGTTCTACACAAAATGGCAGATGCTGAATCTTCCTTTTCCCAATCGCAAAGTTTTTTTGACACCTTGCTGTTTGGGTACACCATGATTTGAGAAAGATTAAACATGCTGGATAAAATAAGCTCTGTCACAGAACAGTTTTATGAAATTATAAAGAAAAACACACCCAGGAATGATGGAGTTCTCCCTTCTAGAGGGAGAGAAAAGATAAGGACCCATAAATTCAACCTCCAGACAAATACTGCAGAATTACACATATGGCAGTTGCTT